AAGGGATGAGGTCTCATTATGTTGACCAGGCTGGTCTCAAGCTCCTGAGCTCAAGTGATCCTCCAGCCTTGGCCTCCCAAAGTGCTAGGATCATAAGTGTGAGCCACCACGTCCAGCCCCAGACATTTTTCTTGATACCCCTAATTTTATAACACATTATACAACTGTTTTACAATTTTGTTCATATACAGTCATCCCTCAGAATTCATGGGGTATTGGTTCCAGGACTCCTGAGGATACCAAAATCCACAGATGCTCAAGTCCCTGATATAAAATGGCATGGTTTTTGCATATTATCTATGGTCCCACATACTTTAAATCACCTATAGATTACTCCTAATACCCAATACAATGTAAAGGCTATATAAATGGTTCCTATACTTTTATTGTTTACTGAAAATGACAGGGAAAAGTCTGTACATGTTCAGGATAGGACACACAGACAACCATCCATTTATTCTTTTTTTTGAGACAGTTTCGCTCTTCTTACCCAGGCTTGAGTACAATGGAACAATCAAGGCTCACCTCAACCGTCACCTCCCGGGTTTAATCGATTCTCCTGCCTCGGCCTCCAGAGTAGCTGGGATTACAGGTGTGAGCCACCATGTCCAGCTATATCCATTTTTTTTTCCGGAATATTTTCTTTTCTTTCCTTCATTTTATTTTTGTTTTTTGTTTTTAGAAACAGGGTGTTGCTCTTCTTGCTCTTGCTCTGCCACCCAGGCTGCTGGAGTGCAGTGGTGAGAACATCAGGAGGTCCCAGCCTCGACCTCCTGGGTCTGAAGCGATCCTCCTGCCTTAGGCCCCCCCACCCCGCCCAGGTAGCTGGGACTACAGGCATGCACCACCACACCCAGCTAATTTCTGTAATTTTTGTAGAGATGGGGTCTCGTCGTGTTGTCCAGGTTGGTCTTGAACTCCTGAACTCAGGCAATCCGCTCACCTCAGCCTCCCAAAGTCCTGGGATTAGAGGCATGAGGCACCGCACCCAGACCTTTCTGAACAGTCTCAATCCACAGATGCTTAAATCCTCAGATGTGGAACTCATGGGTACAGAGGGCTTACTGTATTCTCCTTTGGGCATTAAAAAACTCATGATGGTTGCCATTTCCAGGACAAACTTACTTTCTTTTCAAACCTGTGAGTTCATTTTAAATTTTTTTTGTTTTTTTAGTTTTTGTTTTTTGCAGAACAAATTTTTAAAGCATAATTCTAGGATAAACACTGTCTTGGGAATATAGTTAAAATTAGAGCAATCAACTACATTATAAATATTATGACAATGTATAAGTTCTAGTTTCCCATGTGGAGAAAATTACGTAAGTAGAAATAAAATTGTGAAAATACCGTGTCAAATTCTAGTTCTATCATAAACAGTCAATCCACTGAAACACCAAATTCTTATTTCTCACAATTAAATTGTGCAATTGTGTGCTTCTTTATTTCTTGACATTTAGTCACTTGTAAGTAAAATTATGATTTAAATGCTTGCCTAGGAAAAAGTAAAAATATAGTATTTGGTCTTAATAACCAAAGTAAAAATTATTTGAGCAAAAATCTAACTATTACCTACTTTGCATAATACAATTTGGCAAATGTTAAGGGCCAGGAGACAAAGCTGGGTTAAAAATGATTTCCATCCTCAGAATTTTTACTTTTTTTAATTTTCAAAAGATAAATGGCAGAGATATAGAGGAACCATCTTGCCAATGTGATCAAGGCTGGTAATTAGTCAATTAACTAAAACTTAAAGGTGGAATTAGGAAAACATACATATAGATCAGGCATGGTGGCTCACACCTGTAATCCCAGTACTTTGGGAAGCCGAGATGGGTGGATCACCTGAGGTAAGGAGTTCAAGACCAACCTGGCCAACATGGTGAAACCCCATCTCTACTAAAATACAAAAATTAGCTGGGCATGATGGCGGGTGCCTGTAATCCCAGCTACTTGGGAGGCTGAGGCAGGAGAATATCTTGAACCCAGGAGGCAGAGGGTGCAGTGAGCCAAGATTGTGCCATTGTACTCCAGCCTGGGTGACA